TCAGCTGCTAACTGAAAAGTTGGAGGTTCAAGTCCACCCAAAGGCATCTTGGAAGAAAGGCCTGGTAATCTACTTCTGAAATATCAGCCACTGAAAACCCTACGGAGCACAGTTCTACTATAATACACATGGGGTTGCCTTGAGTAGAAATAGATTTGAAGGCTGGTTGGTTTTTATTATATTATGATTTGATGTCAACACCCATTCGGGTTTGAAGTCTGATTTTGTTAGTACTGTGTTCTAACCTACAATTTTCCAAAACTTTAAAGCACTTTTTCTTACTGAAAGTTTCATTTGGTGACCCATTATATAAAACACCGAAGTCATTGGTCCAAGGTCACACAGAAAATGACAGAGCTGGCCCAAGCCTGTATGATCCCAGGGCTTGTACATTAACCCCCTAGACCACATGGCCTCCCCAAAGACACCTGCCCTGTCTGTCCCTCTTCCAGGTCCCAGAAGGACAGAATTTAAAACTGTAAGAGACCCCTGAGGTCAGCTCATGTGCTGCCTCTACCCTTACTATAGCACTGCTCACAGCTAAGTCTTTGTTCCTGGGTCAGCTCCCTGCTGAGCCAGGCATTCCCACCCAGGGGCATCTTCAGGTTCCCCAAGGCCACTGTGGCTGGCACAGAAAATGCTCAGTAGAATTTTGCTGAACTAATGGACTAAACACATCTCTCATTTTTCTGAGCAGGAAGACCAGAGAAGAAAATGTGGGTACCAGACAATGGGGATATCTTGCCTGCAGTCCGCCAGCCAAGAGTAGTGAGGAGAGAACCTGGACTAGAATCCCAGTCAGTGCTTCTTGCACTGGTTGTACCTGAACTCGTACAGGGCATTTCACTTACATTGTCTCATTTCATCTTCACGACAACCATGTGATGATTATCATATGCCATCAAATCTGAAACCATCAATAAAACAAATCCACAGAAGCTGTTCAGTTAGCCCAACACAGCCAATCTGCCTCTCTACCCGGAGTGGACCAGCTTGCTTTGGGAGAGAGGCAAAGCCTTCAGGGGTGAGTGGAGGCCAAGCTGCAGCCTGAGAGACAGGGGTGGCCAGAGAAGCGGTGATTCCCCGTGTCCGCTTCAGCTGTGCCTCCCTTTGCCATCAGTGGAGCCAGTATGTCTGTGCCAATCTCGGCTATTCAGGAGACTGGGCATATCCAAAACCAAATGCATTTCCATTTCCTTAAGAAGCCCATTTTGCTAGTTATTTTCAGTTTACTTAAAATATTTTAGTATCATAATAACCCAGGGCGCCAATGGACACAGGGCTACAGACAGGTCCAGAGACGTGAACCAGCAAGCCACTCGGGACAGGTTTGAAAAGAAATGGAAAATAAAATTTTTACAACTTTGAAAATATTCCATTATTATTTCCACTTGTGAGTCCAAATCATACTGTTTTCATAACTTATCAAACACACTTAATGATAGTTACCATTTGTGGAATGCTTACTATGTGCCAGGCATTCGGCTAAGCACAGTACTTCATCTGCATTATCTTATTTAGTTTAAATAAAATGAAAGAAGCAAATAGAGCAAGGGTGAAAAATATGACCGATATATTTATTCATGTGTCCGCGGGGGCAGCCACAAACTGGGTACTGTTGGTACCAGTGGCAGGTAGCTAGCTGTTCCCAAAGCTAAAATTGTGGTTTGACCTTGGCTAGAGACAAGGCTGAGCTGTGGTTTTATGGTTCAGCACAGTCAGTTAAGATCTGATTCAGTTCAGTCACATGACAGGAATGGTCAGAAACATTTGCGACTTACTTAATTGTTCAGAGGAAAGACTGCGGTGCTTGAATGAGCTCCTAAGAAGTCTTTCTCATTTATTCTTTTCCTCTTCTGTGTAGCTCCCTCCCCCCATAACCAAGGGAAACAAAACTCTTTATCCTCTAAACTCTCATAACCAGTTGCCGTCAAGTAGATTCTGACTCATGGCGACCCCATGTGTGTCAGAGTAGACCTGTATTCCATAGGGTTTTCAATGACTGATTTTTCAGAAGTAGGTTGCCAGATCTTTCTTCCAAGGTGCCGCTGGGTGGACTGGAACCTCCAATCTTACGGTTAGCAGCCAAGTGCATTAACCATTGGCACTGCACAGGGACTCTGAAACTCCCATAGTCCTTGTATTTATTATTGCAAGTCATCCAGTGACCTTGGGCAAATAATTGCTTTGTGCTTTGGTTTCCCCATCTGAGAAATGGGGATAATAACCCCTTAGGGTTGTTGTGAAGATTACATAAGATAATATGGGTCAACGTGAAGAGCAAGACAGTACACAATACTGGGGAAGCCAGCACAAATTGTACAAGACAAGGTCATGTACGCTCCACAGACACATCCAAACTCCCTGAGGGACCGAATTACTGGGCTGAGGGCTGTGGGGATCATGGTCTTGGGGAACATCTAGCTCAATTGGCATAACATAGTTTATAAATAAAATGTCCTACATTCTACTTTGGTGAGTAGCATCTGGGGTCTTAAAAGCTTGTGAGTGGCCATCTAAGATACTCCACTGGTCTCAACCCGTTGGGAGCAAGGGAGAATGAAGAAAATCAAAGACACGAGGGAAAGATAAGTCCAAAGGACTAATGGACCACAACTAGCACAGCCTCCACCAGACTGAGTCTAGTACAACTAGATGGTACCCGGCTACCACCACTGACTACTCTGACAGGGATCCCAATAGAGGGTTCTGGACAGAGCTGGAGAAAAATGTAGAACAAAATTCTAACTCACAAAAAAAGACCAGACTTACTAGCCTGACAGAGACTGGAGAAATCCTGAGACTATGGCCCCCGGGACACCTTTTAGCTCAGTAATGAAATCACTCCTGAGGTTCACCCTTCATCCAAAGATTAGACAGGCCCGTAAAACAAAACAAGACTAAAGGGACACACCAGCCCAGGAGCAAGGACTAGAAGGCAGGTGGGGGGTGGGGGGGACAGGAACCCAAGGTCGAGAAGGGAGAGTGTTGACACATCGTGGGGTTGGCAACCAATGTCACAAAACAATATGTGTACTGTTTAATGAGAAGCTAGCTTGTTCTGTAAACTTTCATCTAAAGTACAATAATAAAAAAAATAAAAATAAAAAGATAATATGGGTCAAGAATTTAGCATAGTGCCTGGCTCACAGTGAGATTTGGTTTGAGAGACAGGCAGATCAAAGTCACATCAACAGTGGAGAAAGACAAACACAACTTTTCTGCTCCTGTAATTCATATACTTATTTTCCTCCTGTTAGCCACTCTTAGAACACTGGCTGTTTATTATTCTTCATCTCAATCTCAAAGGGATGAGAACAAGTAATAGCGGTTTTAACTTGCAAGGTGTTTGGAGGGACACCACTTTTTGACTACAAGAATGTAGTGGGACAGGTTAAAGGGGTATTAGGAAATCCCTGCCCCAAAAGTTCTTTAGAAACAAAACAGACACAGCTCTGTCAAGAAAAATCTTATGTATGAGACCAAATGGACAACAGTTACTCTAAAGCCTAGATGAGAAGGTTAGGAGGCAGTGAGACTAAGTCAATGGGAATGGAACAACTAGAATGGAAATAATGAAAATATTGACACAATGTGAAATTCATATCTGTTTTCCGTCATTTGTACCTTTACACTCACATATGGCGTGTTCCAGTCTGTAATCTTGCCCCTTTTAATAAATGTTGTTTATCAAACTGCATTTACTGAAATATAAAACGCAAAGAAGGAGGTCAGGATGCACCCTTCCAGGTGAAGCAGGCCCCTTACCATCTGTTTGGTAGTTGAGTGCAACGAGCTGGATCCCATGGAGCCAGAACATGAGAGGGTTGGGGTTGGAAGAGTCGATGCGGGTGGCGGCGGGGTATGTTCTCAGCAGCTGGCAGGTGGTGTGCTGGATCAGTTTCTGAGAATACCTGCGACACAGACGCTTGGCAGCATTTTCATTCAGCGATGAGATATGATAACATTTGGGAGTTCTAATGATTGCGCTGAGGGATGTGGTTGAGTTAAGAGAGGAAGAAGATTCTTCCCAGGTCTGGCGCATTCCTTCAATGGAACCTAAACTCCCAGAAGGTTAGTGCAGAAAAGTTTAAATATTTTAGAAAGAGAAACATGAACAATATCCTGGTAAATAATCATAATACATCATAAAAAATTAAAAAACCAAACCAGTTGCCTCTGAGTTCATTCCGACTCATGGCAACCCCACGTGTGTCAGAGTAGAACTGTGCTCAATGGGATTTTCAATGGCTATAATCTTTTGGAAGATTCAAACCATCCACCTTTCGGTTAGTAGCTAAGTACTTAACTGTTTGTACCATCCAGTATTAACATCATAAAACATGTTAAATTTTACTTGTGAAATTATAACTTTCCAGACACCTTGAAACAAAATGGCGGCTGCTGAATTTTAAAATGACTGTAGCAATACCAGTTTAAATTAAAAGCCTTGAAGTACTTTGAAATTATCTGCCCTGTAGTTATATTTGTATAAATATACAATAACATACATACCAGGATATTCATGCTAGCATTGTTCTTTATAGCAAAAAAACAAGAATCAACTCAAATGTTCTATCAGTGAGCAAGTAGTTAGGGTGTATGATATAATGGAATAACACACAGGTATTAAAGAGAATGAGGTAGCTATATGGACAGAAATCTATGTGAAAACTTATAACGAGTATAAGTTATACAAGTATGTTCAGTTATATCCTGTTTGCATTATCTTAAAAAGGATCTTATTTTCCTTGTACAAAATACAATAAAATGTTAATAGTGGTTACCTCTGGGGAGTGGAACTGGGACAACAGGAGTGTAAAGGAATTTTAATAATATTCTGTAAAGTTTGAGTTTTAAACTATGAGAATTTATTACATTAGAAATAAAATGGATTTATCTTCTGGAATTACCATGGTGAAGAGTACAGCTCCAAGAAACTTGAGAGTGTTCCAAGGTGGCTCTGATTTTTACTTTTGAGGCAGGCACTGTTAGAACATCTTCAGTAAAATGTTATTTTTAGGAAGTTAAAGGTGTAAATTGGTGATTTAAAAAATAATGACACCAATTGGTGATTTAAAAAATAATTACACCACATTTAGACAATATGGACACTCATGAAAATATAAAAGTATTAAAAAATGCAAGGGAAGTGCTTAGACAGTAAAATATCTGAATTATCCAGCATGCGGAGTCAAGCAAAGACATTGTAAGAAGGTGACTTTACTTTTTCCAGATGTTTTGTTAAAGGATGCTGTCTCCCCTGGGCTCATTCTGCCTGGATTATTGCCAAAAATGGACTTCCTGCTTTTCCTTTCTTTTCCTCTGCTAGAGCCAGATGCATTTAGAGTTGACAGGCCTGTTCCCATAAAATGAAAATAAATAAGCCAAAAACTACAAGCAAGGGAATGCAACATTTTCCATCCCTGTTAATGTTTATTTTGAAGTCCTACTACTCCCTTGTAACCTAGTACAGAGACCCGACTAGCATTTTTTGTACCATTAATAATAGTACTGTAGGCAATTATAGCACAGCTTTTATCTCTGTAAGCAAACGTGGTAAGAACTGCATGACTGTTACAGAATGACCACAAAGTCATATGGATATCACAGCTAACTGTGCACCAGAAAGTTTTTGGAAGAAATGCAGGAAAAGAAAGAGAGCTGCTGTCAGTATTTAATTATCCGGGGGCTAATTACCCATTTAGGACATGGAAGAATGGTTAAGAGCCTGAGCTTTAGTGTCAGTCTGGGTTCAAATCTTGCTGGTCTGACCTTTGACTTATCATCTAACTTCTCTGTTCCTCAGCTTCAGGAACTCACTCATAGGGTTAGTCTGAGGATTAAATGGGAAATATGATGATAATGATGTTTCACAGCTTTTCTTTCTCACTCCTGGTCCAACCACTGTCAGGATCCTTCATGCCTGGCACAGTGCCTGACACACAGTAGGAATTTCATACGTATTTGTTAAATGAGGAAATAAGTGTATGACATGCAAACCTGGCTCTGGTGTAGGAGGAGTGATTTAAAGGCACCAATGAACCCCCTCCTAGCTGCTGAGTTGCCTCCAAATCCTTCCCACTGTCTACAACCGTACCATTAGAGAGTAATTCCTTTAGCTTAAGCAGCACTCAGGAGGCCCTCTTTGAGATGAAAATATACCTACCAAGAACATCGTCATGAAAGACAGGATGGAGTAGTCTTTAACAGCATACACTTTGGAATGGGACCCTCTTGGGTTTAAACCCTGTTCCTAGCAGTGTGACCTCACAAAAGTTACTTAACCTCTCGGCACCACTCCTTCCTCTTCTGTAAAAGGGTTGTGGTTAGGATTAAAGGAGATAATGTATATCTACATACTTAGTACAGTGTCTTGTTGAGGAAAAGTGCCCAGTTAGTAGGAGATGTTTCGATTAAAGCTTAAGATAGAACTTCTAAATTTCTTTTCTCTAACAAAGATGTACAAACTCGGACTGGTGTGTTCTCATGTTTACTTTAGAAGTGTGCATGAATTTGTTCTTCATGCAATTATGTAACAATGGATTTTCTCTCAAGCCAAGTTGAGGTTTTGCACACACCTGGGCACATGCTGACATCCCCTGGGGGCATGCAGGTCCCTCTGTGCAGAGCCTGGTTGTTCTCTTGGGGTTGAGGGAGGAGGCAAGAAAAGGAGGGCTGGATGGTCAATAAAAGGGAAGGAACTCTGGGTTATGGGACAGAATCTAGACAAGTAACGTGAAGAACAGCAAAGACAACCTTCATCTGCTCTCTTGGCCCATTTATTGACCACAACAAAAATGACAAAGATGACAAAGACAACTGCCATTTCCTGAAAGCCAATTATTTTCTAGATAGTGTGCTAGTAACATTATATACTTTATTGCTAATTTTTAAAACAACCCAGAAAGTTAGGACTGTTACTCCTCTGTTACAGATAAGGACCACGAGGTGCAGAGAAGTTATATAACTGTCCCAAGTCAAGGTCACTAGGTGGTCGAGCTGGGATTTAAACCTGCATGGTGGGTCTGGTGGCTTTCTCTCTTCCTCAGCTGCATCTTTCTAGTTAATTTTAGGATTTTTCAGCTCATCAGTGTTTTTCCTTATGGCTGCGAATGAGAATGCTTCTGTTTTAGATGTAGACGTTGGGATACCTGTTTGTAACTGAGTTTTGAGAGAGAAATTTGAGGTAGCCAGCTTGCAGAAGTCTGATAGGCATTTAAGAATAAATTCACCAGAAAACATGAGATTTCATCTTTCTTCAGAAATCCTGATTTGTCTATGGGCTGTAAAATCAACCAATTTCCTAATTTTTTTAATAGCCCAATATCTTGGTCCCATTTTCTGGGGACAGTATGAGAACCGGTGCTTAAGACTGGTGCCTCTTGAGAACTAGGACGTGAGTTCAGATCGTCTTGATGAGATGAGGGCATTTTAACTCCCTTCTCCAGACAAGTTTATATACTCTGTTTACTAACGTTTAGACTGGGCCCCCAACCCAGCTGCCTTTCTGTTCTCAGAAATCTTGTGCAAAGGAATCCTTTATGTTAGCAGAGATGAATTTTTTGATCTCCATGTATTTGTAGACTTTAGTGGTTGCCCTCTACCTTTTGGTACCCCATTTGTAGAACATACAATTTAGTGGGCTCACTGAAAAGATACCCTAACAAGAGAGGCACAGTAGTGTAATGATTAAGGACAGGGTTTTGGAGTCAGACAGACTTCAGAATCATGGTTCTACCATTTATTAACTGATTTGAAAATAAATTCACTGTACTTGTAGAAATGGCCAATTGCAGATACTCTCTTTTCCATTGAAATCCTAGCCTTGGTAGTTTGGGTGGAGCCTGGTATCCAGCTCAGGAGTGAAGCATGTGACTTAGACTCAAGTCCGACAGAGAACTGCCACTAGCCTGGACAGTTATCGGTTCAGGGATGGGCAAAGGACCCAGTGAGAAACAGTGAAACTACTGCTGGAAATTCTGGAAAAAAAGACTTTAACATCTGGATGCATGTAGTGCTAGCTTGCTGTAGTCATCTGGCGACCACAAAGGGAACAGAGTCAACATAGAAGAGGCAGAGGGAGAAATGGGGAGAAAGACTGTGCCCTGGATCAAGCTACACCTGAAGCTTATGTATCCCTTCATTTTTTGATACATGAGACAATAAATTTCCCTCTTTACTTAAGGCAACTTCTGTCACTTTCAAATAAAAGAATCCTAACTGATATACTCTGAGACCTTGGGCAAATTACTCAGACTGAATTTTAA